TGCGAGTGGATCTAACATCTAATTTTAATTAGATTGATATTTTTCTAGCAAAAAAATATACAGTTCAAAAGTAGACATGTTGAAAATAATGAAGATAAGTTTAAACTTGTGGACAATCCAATTTCATTTTTCGCAAAAAATATTGGCCAAAAAACAGCCTTATGGAAACCTCTTCTTTATGGAGAACCGAGTTTCAAGAGCACTGAGTGAAAGTTGTTGTAACTTTGGGATATAAACGTATATTTGTGAACATGCACAGAGCATTAAAGATACTTTACAGTTACAAAAAGTCTTCTTTGAAGTACAAGTTTGTGAGACATCATCTACTGGTTAAGTAGTTTTTAATTGATTTCAAGTACATTCACATGATATCAGAACTAGTTAAGATCCTTGACCTCTCATATACAACATAGATCTAGGTCACGAGAGGAGATACTGTTGATGAAAATTCGTAAAATAAAAATATATATATATTTCAGATTGATTGATGTAATTGATATACCTGTATTGTACACTATTCTAGGAATATGAGGAAAATTTTGACTTGTGAGAATATTTATATCTATTCAAATATACTCTACTCGCTTACTTACCCTTTAAGCGACTTTAATATACTTATTGCTTGAAAGTTTAATTACATTTGTAAAGGGAATAGATTTCCTTATCTAAATTAAATTTCATTTATTTATGATTATAATTAAGAAATCTTAAGATAATATTTGGTATAATGCATTACAAGTTTGTGAGACATCATCTACTGGTTAAGTAGTTTTTAATTGATTTCAAGTACATTCACATGATATCAGAACTAGTTAAGATCCTTAAGATAATATTTGGTATAATGCATTCTCTGTATGACCGGGAATCCTTCAATTTCTTTGGCCCTCTGAAACTTGTTTTAAAATGTGCTATTATATTGGTCTATGTATAAATCCACAAATCAAGGAATTGATAGAATTGCCAATGGTCGGCGAAAAATGTTTTTCACTTACGTTTGACATTTATTTTTTCTACTTTTTGTTAGCCCTATTGAAGTAGCTTTCAAATAATAGATAAGAAATGTAATAGTAATTCCTGCACTTTCTGAAGATAGTTTGGGTATATCTTGGACCGTCCGTCCGTCTGTCACATTTTCATTTTCCTGTTGTTCCTCTTACAATTAAAGCAATAATAAATTCATTTCTTGGAATTTGATAGATCGCGTCGAGAGGATGGAAATTGAAAAAAAAAAAACCTTTCTTCCTACAAAACCTGGCTCTTATGTTTTACGCAGTTGCCGAAATAAATATTTGCAAGATGATTGATGGCGTCCTTTAGATGAGCAATAAAGTTTCGGAGTTTTCACACTGCAGGTCAAATGGAGGTCGAAAACGCTTGTTCCAAGAACTCACATACATTTTCCAAGTAGCCAAATCATCCTTTAGAAGGTAACTGATGGTTTCCTGTAGATGTGCAATAAGGTTTCGGAATTTTCATTTTCACACTGCGGGTCAAATGGAGGTCGAAAAGTTTTTCGACAGAACCATTGTTCCAAGAACTCCTCATACATTTTTTCCAGTAGCCAAATCATCTTTTAGAAGGTAACTGATGGTTCCTGTACATGTGCAATAACATTTCCAAACTTTAATTTTAACTCTAGAGGCCAAAAATGGGGGTCGAAAAACAAAATTTTTCATTCTACAGAAACCTGGTTCCCAGAACTCCTCTTACGTTTTACGCAGCACCCATTTTATCTATGCAAGATGATTGGTGGTGTCCTGCAGATCTGGTATAAGGTTTCCGAATTTTCATTTTCACACTAAGGGGTCAAATTGTGGTCCGAACACGACGCTTATTGATTTTACAAAAACCTGGTTCCTAGAAATCTTCATAGATTTTACGCTGTAGCCATGTCTTTTTCAAGATAATTGGGGATGTCCTATAGATTTGCAAGAAGGCTTCGTTATTTTCATTTTCCACTCTTGTGGCAAATGGAGGTCGAAAAAATGACATTTTTCAATTTACAAAAAATCTGGTTCCAAGAACCCCTCATAAATACCTGTGGCCATTTCCTCTCTTGCCAAATGATGGGGGGGGGGGGGGGGAGTGCTACAGATATGCAATAGGTTTCGGAATTTTCAGTTTCCTCCTTTCCGCCAAATGGGGTCGAAAAATTGCATTTCAATTTCCAATTTTGGCCGATTTTCTTCCTTTTTTAACAGAAAAGACATTTTTCTGAAAATACCTCTTTTTAAATTAGAATTAACTCATCACAATCTTTAATTTCGGTCCAGTAATGAATTTATTACAGTATTTGAAATACTATATCATAAGAGACCCATATGATCACCTGTGCATTTTATGCTCAATTTGATACATGTATGTATATACGCACAGAATTAGTAACTTGTTGGATATACTTCTAAAGCCTCTATGCCAACTTGTACCAAGTTATGTAAGGGATGATATGGATTTTCTTGGCCACATCCCAGATACAGTTGAAATAAATACAGAAATGGTTAGTTTTGATGTAACGAGCCTCTATACTAACATACCACATACACTTGGACTGGAAGCAATCGCTTTTTGGATCGATAAATACCGCAGTGAAATAAATGAAAGATTTTCCAAAGACTTTATCCTAGAAGGATTAAAAATAGTATTAGAAAATAACCATTTTGTTTTTGACAGCAGAAATTTTCTACAAATAAAAGGAACAGCGATGGGCACAAAAGTTGCCCCAACCTATGCCACCCTAGTACTTGGGTTTTTAGAAGAAAAATTGATCAGTGAAACAGACAGAAGATTTGGAAATCAGTTTGCCCAATATATACGCTTTAATTGGAAGCGATATTTAGATGATTGTTTCATTTTCTGGAACAGATCTAATGAAGATTTACAAGAATTTCATTCAATTCTTAACAATCTACACCCGTCTATTAAATTTACGGTGGAAAAAAGCGGATTGGAACTACCTTTTTTAGATATCCTTATAATTAAGGAGGGTCGTAAAATCATAACAGATTTATACTACAAGAAAACGGATTCCCACCAATACCTTGTATTTAATTCCTGCCATCCTTCACACGTAAAACGTAACATACCTTTTAATATGGCAAGACGTATTTGTACCATTGTCATAGATGAAACCAGAAGAAACAGCTGTCTACAGGAATTGAAAACTTTTTTACTTAGACAAAAATATCCCAATGATCTAATAGACGTCGCTATTGAAAGGGCCAAGTCAATACCAACTACAGATCTCCGGAGTTCTACAAGAGCAGGGGCCCAGGAAAACAATAAAGAAATCCCGCTTGTCGTTACACATAACCCCCGGAACCTTAATATGTATAATTCCGTAAAACAGTGCTTCTCCATTCTACAACAATCCCAAAATCTAAAGGAATTAATTGACCTGAAGAACATAATCTATAGCCGGCGCCAACCCCCAAACCTGAAGAAACTCCTTACAAGAGCCAAATTTTCGTCAAATGAGGACATACGCACAGTGGCCAAATGTATGGACCCCCTATGTGGAACCTGTCCTTATTTAAAAACAGGAGAGACGTTTACTTTTAAATGTGGTAAAACATTTACCGTAAATGCGAATATGTCATGCAAATCTAAAAATTTAATATACTGTATGACTTGTACTTCATGCGGGGAAAACTACATTGGACAGACCGGTAACAAACTAGCTGACCGCGTAAGAGTCCATAAACAACAAATACGGGACCCTTCTGTCAGGAATACGCCATGCAGTGAACATTTTGATTCATGTGCGAATGGAAACTTTTTAATATTTCCTTTTTATAAAGTTCTAGAAAATAATGAACAATTACGGAGAGCCAAGGAAGATTACTTTGTTAAATTATTTAAACCTAAACTAAATGTAAATTGAACATTATAGCTTAAAATTAGCAGTCTATTTCATCACAATGTACATATGTTCAATTCTCTACTTTTGGCGCCCTAATGACATTTACCTGCGCCAATATATATTATTATACTTTCATGTTAAATACTAAAATCTGATTGGTTTAGACACATTTAACAATCCGTAATATTACCCTCAGCGTTAGCAACACACTTGACAACGGGTAACATTACGAAAATATCACATGCGTTCAAATCATGCGCGTACGGTTCACCGTAGAATTCTCAAAACGTCGGTTGTGCGTTTGAAAGAAGCCGAATAAACGACGTCAATAAAAGCTTGCGTCCGATGTGGCTTACTTGAAAAAGACAAACGACAGACGAAACATCCTTGCGAGTGCAAACTTTAGGTGATAAAGGACTTTTTGAGTAGCGAACAAATAATAAAGAGGTTGGTAAATCTTTTACGAAGCTTTCCTATTGAGAAAAATAGAAGTGGGGAGTTTGAAAGCTTTCTAAGCGTGAAGTTAACGTCGATCTCCGAATTTTTTAATGACATCCGAAATCAATAAGACATTCAGTATAATAAAATAAATAGTGCACGTTTTTGAAGGTAACAGTTGAAATTGACAACCCTCGGAAAACCATTGTCAACCTCCGCTGACGCGTCGGTTGACAATGGTTTTTCCTTGGGGTGTCAATTTCAACTGTTACCCTCAAAAACGTGCACTATTTATATAATGCTGCCTTTATGACGTCACAATAACGACGTCATAACAACCAAGTTGTATTGTTTTTATAAACTTTGTAACACTCTGAAGAGCCTCACGGCGAAAGCGCTTAGTGTAATAATTAAATGTGAACTTGTTTGTTTATCTTGGATTTTATTTTAATTTATAACCTACCTATACCGTGGACTTTTACTACAATTTCACTATATATATATATATATATATATATATATATATATATATATATATATATATATATATATATATATATATATATATATATATATATATATATATATATATATATATATATATATATAATATATATAATGTAATTTATAGAATTACTTTTGTGGCTTCATTTGTTACCCAGGTTCAGGGGAACTAGCATACATTTAGAGGCAAACTCTTACGTGCGGGCATTGCTGTCTTATGACAGCATCCAGTTTCTTTTTTATTTTATAAATCAACACAACTTTACATCGTTTGTCCGGAATGCATGTATACAAGCTAGAACATTTACCTATTCAATAATTTCACTGTTGACATAACATTTCAGGGTCCGAACGAGAATACATTTTGTCAATTATTTAACGCAACAATGTATCTTTCGGAAAAAAAAATTGTAATGAGACAATTCTCTTTTAAATATAATACATAAGCTTTACATGTACATTGTATATATCATGAGATATCTATTATGTTGACTTTTCTGTGTCAATTTTGTAGCCGGCAATGATAGACGCATGGTCCACCTTCAGACCACTTGTTATTTTTCTGAATGTGACATAATCCCCGATATCTAACTTTACTACAACCGAAGTAGAAGCTGTCTGCCATGTGCCCCAATCAGCTCCTAGCCAAGCCGTTGTCAGCCGTTTATTGTTTGTAAAGATTTGTACTCCATTTTCAGATGTTCCTGAAGTCAAGTGTATGCTGAAATAGTAGAATCCTTTCGTTTTGATATTTAAGAATCCAGTCAAATTAAAAATGTTGAATGACTTTGGACAAGCTAGGAAAGTCCCTATGGTTACCAATTTTTTGCAAGAAAAATCGGTGTCTCCAGGTCTGTTTTTCAAAAAATACACTGCAAAGACCGACAGTGTGCTCAAAGTTCTTTCACTTTGTTGCTTTATTTTCAGGGAAAGCCTGTCTGCTGGGGATAAATTCAAAACAGCTGTTGTAGAGGAGGAGCTGTAATCAGCCTGTGAATGCCACGCAACCGGTCTATAGAGGCCACTGTGAAGACTCTTTCCATTGTAATATAATTCTACGCCATTGTTATTGGAAGAATTCATGATAGAGTTTATGTCAACTTTATAAAGCCCTACTTTGGTACATAAAAAATCATCTTTTGTCAGCGAGTAATTAGCATGTCCTAGGTTGACTAAAATTTCTTTTCCTGGGATGGTTACATCGTTACCTGCAACTGGGTTCTTCAAAGTAGCCACTAATACAGGATTCTCATTTGGTAATTTTGATAAAAGGTGACCGGACCACACAGACGTGCTTCGGACAGACAAATTGTCTTTGTAAGATCTGATAGACAGAGTATCACCAACTTCTAAATCAATTACAAGTGATGTTGTTCCTGACGCATCCCCAGGGGTACCTGTTGGACCACCTTGCCAAACTAATGTCATTGGTCTATCGTTTTTGTAAATCCAAGCCCCATTAGCGTTTGTTGATTTAGTTACTAAATGAAGGAAAAATACATATGTACCATTTAGACAGCAGAGAAATTCCCCAAGGTCATTAAAGTCTGCATTGTAATTTGTAATAATTTCTCCCGATTTTAATACACTTCCTTTGTGTGCAAGCACCTGTGAAGCCATTGTTAAGGTAAAGCCAATAAAAGTAAGACCCTCTTCAGTACCTGAAAAAGATTCATGTAAATTTGAATAAACTGTGAAGATAAAATTTAATTTAATTTTAACAATATTTCCTTCAAAAATAAAAGGGGAATTAAGCATATCGAATTCAAATGAACTGCAGATAATCACTAATTAAACAAATGAACCTGACATGTATTAAAAAATGATCAAAATTTGCTTTTTGAGTTGCATTACTATACATACATGATGCGGACTTTCGTTGATACAAGGTTTTATTCATTAAATCTCTGAGCTCCTGGCTTTCCCTCCTGAGACCTTCCACTTCCTTCTTGAGAATTTGTACTTCGGATTCAAAAATCTTGTTCTGTTTATGCACGAGTAATCGGAGATCATCGTTTTCGTTTTTACACCTTTTCCTGTCGTTGTCTTCAGAGAACTGAATATACTGCGAGTATATCACAGGAAGACTGACAGAAAGAAAAATTACTGATCGTATTAACACCATGTTAGACAAGTAAAACAAAATAATGCGCTTACAACTTTTATACGAAAAAGCACGTGATGAATCCGTGAGAGTTTACACTTGAAATTTTCTTCTTGCTCTATACAATCATTGATAACTTTATATTATTGCAGGGATTGCAGTACTTATAATTTAAAACTTCTCCTCATACTAACATGTTTGATATCATCGACTGGAGTATCCAAGTACTGAAGTATAAACAATACAGATTCATGAGAGTACAATTTGTTCATTTCATAAAAAGAAACCACAGTTAAGCTAGGGAATGATATTAAAATGTATCTTTTCTAATCATAGTTAATGATGATTTGCAGTTTTAGATTTTATTTCTAGTTTATTGTAGCGGATTGTTATTCAAATCGGGATGCTATAAAGTGTTAAAAACAGTTTTTGTTAAAAACTCACTGCAATAATTTAGTTCATGTTGGTGTTAATAAATTACATTGCATATATAATTACTTTGTAAGAATAGTAATGTAAAATCATGATGGCATCATTTAGTATGAATCTAAAGGAACTTAAACTACACGGAAAGTTTGATTACGATGAACTAATACTTTTCTTAAAAACTTGAGTAAAAAATCAAACAATTATCAATTAATTCACTTATTCTTTAATCCATGTCACAGAGGTAAGTCATTATCATCTTTTTTTTTTCAAGATAAACCATTCAGTTAAGGTCGATTTTCAGTCTGGATTACTTTGAAGACTTCCGGAATGAATATTACTAGGATGTGTTCAAATTAAGACGTCACCTTTATTTATTTCAGAGAAGATACCACCCGTAGTTGTCCGAATGTTTGCTGCACCTGCATCAGAAGTGCACATGCTACATACCTGAAGGAAATTAACTGCAATTTCAAAGTAAATTGGTCGGACTATAGTGTAGGTTCCACTGAAAACGTAAACATCATGCGCGGATGCTGTGAAGACACAAGTGTAAGGGTTGAACATAGCCTCCAATAATGTGTTTCATGCATTTTCAATAGACAGTCAGTAAGTTGAGAAGCGAAATACCTAAAAAAATACAAAAATATAAATGCAATATAAATTTATAACTAGTAGGTCTGCTTTGGACAATTTCGGTTGGGTGAACATTTATAAAATAGTGACTAAGGACCTTCAGTAAGGAACACATTATGCACTAAAAACTTTGTGTAGCTTTTTTTGTTTTGTTTTGGGTTTTTTTTTTTTTGTTTGTTTGTCTTTTTTGTTCACTGTTTCGCGTCTTATACCACATTCTTGAGTAATAACATAATCATAAGAAAATTCTTTAAAAAGTTTAATACCGTATTTTTTTCTTGTGCATCTGTTTCACAAAGTAACTTATCCTGTATTTGACTATGTGAATCATTTATTTATATTTTTTCTTAAATTATAAATAAGATTATTATATATATTATTTTCAATGCAAGCGTCATTATTCAGAAATATTATGGTTCATACATATTATTATCAGTATGAACATTATCATACGGTTTTAACGTTTGATATTTTGCACAAATGTAGTTACCTGATACTGAAATGCAATACTTCTAATTTTGAACCATAAACAATCGCTGTATCTAATGCATCAAGAGACAAATCTGAGTGATTAGCTGATATCAATTTCATTTGTTTTAGTTATTTCGTTTTTGCACTTCAAGGTTTCCACACTTTTCTTTATCCTTAGTCGCTAGTAGCTGTAGAAGTTCTCATCAACCAAAAATGTTCATTGCAAGCAATAGCTTATGTCACCACAAACTGACTATATTGTTTTTTTTTAAAGTAACTGCATGAAAAAACAGCACAGTTACTGCGATCGAAACAACAACTCATGAATTTGTTTCAAGGTTGTGGAGGCAGATAAATTTAATGAAGTTGTGCTGAGAAAATAGTTCTGAGAGGCAGGGTAGGTGTTTAATTAAAATGTTGATTTGTTGATGTTGTTTTATTTCTGACTGATTTTGTTTGTTGTTTAACGAAAATTTTCCCCTCATATGGAGACGCCACCACTTGCCGGTCGAGGGCTGTAAATTTATACCTATGCTCGGCACTTAGGGCCATTGAGCAGTGAGGGATCTTTTTCGTGCCAACACCTACTGACATGGGACCTCGATTTATACGGTCTCATCCGAAGGACCGGTCCCCACGTCCCGCAGTTGATTCGACCTCGCGACGTAAGGATTAGCTCCTTCCTCCTCGACTCTAGAGAAGACGCTCTAACCACTGCGCCACGCGCATTATCCTAGCACATGTACATTCATAGTAATTGGACAGTTGACAGTATATAAATGAAAGAAAAAAATAGAAAGGTTGCTATTGCAACCAATAAACTATGTCACCCCGAGCTGACTATATTTGAAATGAACTAAAAGTAGATGTTTTTGTAAGCATATTACGGTTACTGTTATTGAACCAACGACTCTTGGGTTTCTTTAAAGATTGTGAAGACATAGATATGTGTTATACAAAGTATAAAGTTGTGTATTATAAAAAATATGACTTCCTGTGCCGGGGGAGGGGGGGGGGGTAGAGGTTCCCATTCGAAAAGGATTCAGTTAAAGATTAATATAACCGAAAATTTAATTCTATGCATGTATATCAAAAACAGAAACTAGAATTGTCATATCATATTCTATTATCGACATATTTGAAGGAATTTTATTGTTTTCTAAGCTTGAACGTGTTACTCTTATTTCTACATTCATTCGGCAGAATTTTTAGTCACTACTTATACCGGAAATGGCGTTTCATACAAATTATTTGGCCATTATTTTCACTGGGGTTTTCCCTTTCACAATCATGCAAAGCAGCACAGAGTGGTCGACAGAGGATGTCTACTCCTCCAAGGCACCTGATCCCACATCTAATGTGTTAGAGGTCCGTTTTTGCTATGCTCTCAACTTGTATTGTTTCAATGAACCTCTGAGCTTGATAAAGTTTCCTTATCTTTTTAATTCTTTCTCATTTTAGATACTTCATATCCAGTTAATTTTTAAAATTTCTTATTCGACTTGGGATGTTGATAAGCTTTTTTTAAAAAAAATTATTACTACAAAGCAAACCTTCAATAATTTAGTTTTGTTTGGATCGAGTTTGTTGCATCTTCAATCGATGTGTACATGTCATGGCAGTCCAAGGTTGTTGTGACTTAATCATATTTATGCAATATTTTTACAATAAAATTTGAGAAAAATATGTTGTGTTTTGCTATATAAGAATTTAATTTAAAAGGTTCCAACAACAATCTGGTCAAATTTATTGAAATTGACTATATTTTTATATATTGTCTCCATGACCAGATGTATGATTATTAAGATAGAAAAATCACCAGAAAAATTCAATGAAATTTTAATATTAACAAGCATTCTGAGAGTATTGCATTAGCAATACTAGTCCCCTACCGGCAAGTGTAATCTGGTTCCCATTTAAAATTGAAAATGCTGTAATTCCTTAAAAAAATCATTGAAGCAGAACATAATGCAAACTTGATCTGTAACTCATCAAGATACTCTCACATACCAAAAATCGACTCAATCTGTGCAAGCCTTTAGAAAAAAAGTCCGAAAAACCTTTAAAAATTAAAAACTTAAGGCCTTAATTCCCTCAAAAACCAATAAGCGGAACGAAATTCAAACTTTATCTGTAACACATTAATATACACTTACCTACCAAAAATCAGCTCAATATCTGCAAGAATTTAGAAAAAAAAAAGTGCGGAAAACCAAGTGGGACAGACTGACAGACAGACAGAGGGACAGACAGACGGACAGACAGACAGCTAGACGGACGGACAGACTCTGAGGAAACCTATAGTCCCCTCCCGTTTCACTGATAAGGGACTTATAAACTGTGGTAATAAATTTGCTCTATGCATGAAATTGCTTCATAAAGTTAGACAAATATTTTCATGTATTCTTAATTATTTCATTTTATTTGGCGAGAGAGAGAGAGAGAGAGAGAGAGAGAGAGAGAGAGAGAGAAGAAAAGAAAGCAGGGCTTGGAGAACTTGAATTTACGGAATCAAGAGCATGTAAATATATGGAAAACTTCAGATTTTTTCATGTTTTTGGTTTTATGACGATAATCAAGCAATTGCCTTGCTTGATTGAAATTTTATGCATAAACACATATGTCGTTAATACAAATTTTCACGCAAGCTAATTGCTTAATCATTTCATCCAACCAAAAATTAGAGTTATTCCTTAAATCAATCAATCAGTTCATAGAAAAAAAAATAATAAAGGGGTTTTTCTTGAACTTGTGAATGGTACCTGATAAAAGGCGTTTGCGAGATAAAGGCAATGATTATGATTCCGCGTTCAATTTCAGTAATTCTTCTGATTTCCCAAACTTCACTAGACTTTTTAGACCTAGACTTTTTCAGTTCTTGATTGTTACAATGCAGAGTTCCTAATTGAATGAAGTCCATTATTTTATCAATTTAATTAAATCTTTACTGCAATCTGATGTTCGCTTTTTGGTTTTTCTTTACACGGACGTCAATCTTCCTGACTTATATTTCCATGTTTTTAAGTCTACTTTTCAGGTCTTCATTTTCGGTCTTTAACTTCTTATTCTCTTCCTTATAATTCGTCATATCTTCCTAGAGTTTCTTTCATCTTTTATTTTGAAGAACATTTTCCAGTCTGTCTTTTTCTTGCATCTCTAGCAATGTCTTTATCACATTTTCTAAATGGGAGTTTCGATCACTGTCTGTTGTAGAAATTTTCTTTGCTGCGACGATCGTTGTCAAAGAAACCAATAGCTTTTCCTGAATGACCTCTTAACGTCTTATCTAATAGGCACTAAAAAGACAATATTAACTGAAAGTGCTCGGAGTAAAAATATTAATGTATGTACTTTTGATTTTTCATTTTCAAAAATGGAGGGGGTTATTTGAAACGCATTCTTCAGTCTTCACTGAAGTCAACGATTCACTGTAAGCAAGTCTTTTGCAATAAAGAATTATTTTTAATAAATTCAAAATATGAAGTTTATTATTATTATTTTTTTTTGAATTGTCTGAAATGATAAAAA